CAAAGGCTTACAACAAACCATAGACGAAAGGGAAAGGATCTATTTAGTTATCTTTTCTTTCATTGAATAAAGTGGTTCTCACTCAGAATAAAATTTCTATTGTTATTCCATCGTCAGATACCACAAAAGAGTCTCTAGATAAAATAATAGGCGAAATGACAAAGATTGACAGTGAACTGAAAGAAGTAAAGGAAAAGATGTGTACTTCTACAGCTTTCGTGGGAGAAAGCAAGGATGACGGTGAGTTGAATTTTGTAATAAAAGTTATCCTGCTTAACCGGGTATGTAGCCGTAGTCAACATGTCCTAAATGTGTGAGAGAAATCATCCTATCTTGAGGGATTCGGTTTTTCAATTTTAACAGTTTCTGGTATGCTTTCATTCCCTTCAATGCTTTAACTGTGGAGTACAGTTCACCTCTTGTCCTCACAATTTTATTACAATTTCCGTTCTAAAATTGCTTTTACACTGATTTTCGGTTCCTGCTAAGATGGCGACTTACACGCGTTGGTATGCGCTGCTACTTTTCGCTCTTTTCACTCTTGGAGTATTCGGTCCTGGTCTCGCATACTTATCTCCCACCAAATATATATGTGCTGGACCTAAGGACATGGGTAATGTTTCTACCCAGCTTCAGTTCTTTGGTTCTTTGAGCTCATGTCTGCATCGTCAAAATTACATGCGAAGAAGCAAGAAGGCATACCTCGGACGGTGTGCTTTGTACTATAGTAACAGTACTGCTACGACTCAGCTATTACTGTTGAAGCTATCTGGAAACGTGGAGTCTAATCCCGGCCCTCAGGGGCCTCAAGGAAGTTTTAATAATTCTTCTAAAACACTTTGCAGTAATTGCGCTAAAACCATGAGAAGGAACCAAAATGGCGTCCGCTGCTCGTCTTGCCCGGCAGTATTCCACATCAAATGTACGAAAATGAGCAAGAACGAGCTGTCCTGCTATCGGAGAGAAGGGATCTGGTATTGCTTTTCTTGTACGATGCCTCAGTTTTCTGACAGCTTCTTTGATGATCTCTCACCTTCGGCGGTATGCGATTCAAGCTCCACTGGCGAGGTCTTTGAGATTGCGGAGGAACATTCAGGAGACTCTGTTGACTGGTTTTTTAGGAACGTCAATGGTTACTACAAATCCAATCTGAAAATAGGTCATTCGAACATCAACTCTTTACAAAATAAGCTTGACGAGGTCAAGAATATTCTTAACAAGTGCCTATTTGACATTTTCTTTATTTCGGAGACAAAACTCGATGGTACAACCTCAGATAGTTTTCTTCAACAACCGGGATATCGCACTATTCGACGTGATCGCAAGAAAGGAGCTGGTGGCATGATAGCTTTTGTACGGGAAGATATTCCTGTCTGTCGACGACGTAATCTGGAGCCCGAATCAGTCGAATCATTATGTCTTGATGTCATAGATTCTAAAAAGGCTCGCTTTATTGTGTGTGCGTGCTACAGATCACCTAAATTCTGTAAAATTACTGATTTCTTGTCGTCGCTTACATCAGCTATTGAACTTATGTATACAAGCCGTCAGGAAATATTATTGATTGGTGATTTTAATATCGACTTGCTTGTTGGGGAGCACGGTGTTGTTGCTGAGGATAACTCACTCATGGACCTTTGTGATAGGTTCTGTTTGCAAAACCAAATTAATGAACCGACAAGGGTGACTGAAAAAACAAAGTCTTTACTCGATGTCATTCTCGCTAGCCATCCGGAACGATATGCAACTTGTGGTAATTTGCATATGGGTCTCAGTGATCACGATCTTATCTATGCGGTGCGAAAGAATAAATTACCTAGGGCTAAGGCACGTGAAATTGAATACAGAAGTATGCGACAATTCGACTTAGAAAAATTTTTAAATGACCTAAAAACTATTCCCTGGAGTTCCGCTTACATTTATGACGACGTTGATGATCTATGGCACCATTGGGCTCAATTGTACACTGAAGTGTTGGACAAACACGCACCAATAAAGAAAAAACGGGTCAGAGGTGATCAGTTGCCATGGATAACTCCATTAATTCAACGCGAAATCTCGCGTCGTAATCGACTGTTTAAGAAACATGCAAAGAGCCCAACAACAACCTCTTGGGAGGAATTCAAGAAACAGAGAAACAAGGTCACATCCCTGAAACGAAAAGGGTTGAAGGCGTTCTGCATGGAGGCATCGTCAAACACTAAACATCATGGTGAGTTTTGGAATAAGTTAAGACCTTTGTTGCCAAGCAAAGAAAAGAAGCAATCAAAGATAATTCTGATTGAGAATGAGCGTGTAATTACCGATTCATTAATGGTGGCTGAAATGTTTAACAACTACTTTTGCGAGGTGTCCAGGAGTGATGGTGACAGTAAGGAAATGGTTGAGTTTGTTGATCATCCTAGCGTTAAAGTCATTGCTGAGAAAACTTGTGATGATGTTTTTGACCTCGTCCCAGTTGATGTTGGCTACATAAGGAAAATTTTGGATTCTCTTGACCCTCGCAAGGCTGTTGGGTGCGATAAGATATCTCAGAGGCTACTTCGTTTATCCTCACCTGTTATTGCCGAGCCGGTTACCCGATTAATCAATTATTTTATCACCAACCGTCAATGGCCAATAGTTTGGAAAAGCAGCGACGTTGTTCCTGTTTTCAAGAAGGAAAGTATGACAGATAAGACCTGCTATCGTCCAGTCTCTGTTCTGACTTCCTTATCGAAATTATATGAGAAGGTATTGTTCGATCAAATCTATGAAGCCTTTCATTGGCGACTCTCACCGAACCTGTCTGGCTTTCTCAAGGGTCACTCGTGTTGCACGGCCTTATTGAAATTGACTGAAGATTGGAGAGCCTGTCTTGACAGAAGAGAAGCTGTTGCAGCGGTGGCTATCGACCTAAGTAAAGCTTTTGACTCTGTTTGTCACCCGCTTCTCCTAGCTAAATTAAAGGCATATGGTTTTACGCATGATGCGCTGGAAACTATGACCGCTTACCTTACTGGACGAAGACAGAGAGTCAAACTTGACGGTGTATATTCTTCATGGAGAACCGTTAAAACTGGTGTACCACAGGGGTCCCTGTTGGGTCCTCTCCTATTTAATTTGTATGTTAATGATCTTAATTATTTTATTACTAGTACGTCCTTGAGGCTATATGCTGACGACACTACTCATTACGCCTCTGATGTCTCACCAACAGTATTGCAGTATATAATTAACTCTGATCTGAGCGTTCTATCGAGATGGTTCTCAATGAATTTTTTTACAGATTAATGCCGCCAAAACGCAAGCTATCGCTATTGGCCCGTCTTCATACCAATATGATTTCCATCTTAATGATTCTAATGTCCATACAAAGGACACACTCAAAATCCTTGGGGTGGTCCTAGATAGCAAATTAACATTTAAAGCGCACATAAAGCAACAGCTGAATAAGGGATGCGCAAAGGCTTCGGCTTTGCGGAGAATACGTAAGTTTATTTCAAAGGACGTGTTAGTTCGTTTATATAAGGCCTATGTCCTCCCTCATCTTGAGTACTGCAGTCCCCTTTTACTGGGAGTAGGTAACGCGGAGACTACAAAAATAGAGACAACTAATTACTTTATATTAAGAACTATATTAGGCTTCTCGAAGTCTGTGTCATACGACTTCCTCCTCAAGTTGGCCGACATTAAGTCTTTGGAGAATCGTAGGCAATTCCAATCGTTGGTTATGTTATATAAGTGCTTGTATGATAAGGGGGCTCCTTATATAAGTGATTTTTTTCATTTTAGAAATGTACCGTATAGTTTACGCGGGCTCAGTACAAGGCTAGATTTACCTCCTTTTAATCTTGAGTTTTTACATCGGTCTTTTTTCATTTTTTAGTAAACTTTGGAATGCGCTACCCCTAGACTCAGAGAATCTCAAGATATTGCTTCATTTAAGCGTTCTCTTAAAGCCCACATGGCTTAATGGTAGTGATTGTAAATATCGTTATTGTTGTTAATATTGTTAATATTGTAACTTCTAATTGATAGCTCTTGTCCATGATTCTCGATCCTGTTTTTAGCTTTTTAATAGATTTACTTACTATTTGTATTCTTACAGAAATTATGCTTTATTTCTAATTGTACATACACGTACACGTTTTAACGAGAACTTCTGTACTCCTAGGTGTCACGTGTTTAAATAAAGGATTGATTGGGATTGATTGATTGATATTTGGGGTGGCGTATGGAAGCCACTGTTTAGTGAATACCTGCCAACCAAGAGGTGGCGAATTTCCTTCGCAAGACATGGAGTAAAATTTTCCTTCAAAATTTTACCCTGTAATAAGTGTCTAAACATTTTACTTGATGATCCGTTTTCGTCTGTTTTCAGCTATCACTAAAAACGATGCCATCTTTGTAATCTATGACATTTTCCTTGGTCATACAGGAATAATCAAAGATTCAGTGAGAGAGGCACTTATAAGAATGGAGAACGAAATAATAGAGAAAAAGGAAAAGCTGGTTTCCTTGATGGCTTCAGCAGAAGAATGCAGAGATCAAGGTCAGTCGTGCGAAAGACAGTAAAGTTTTAACTGTAACATTGGTATTAAGTTCAGCTCGATGTTAGAGACTATCAGAGTAGGTTTGACTGAATTCATAATCTAAATGGCTTTTAACCAATAAACATGAATCATACACTGATACCTTTTTGCATCGTCTAAGAAATTTCTTTGGCAATGGTGTTGTAATCATTCACTTATTTAAATTCAGTGCTGAATACCAGAGGGACAACACAATTTTCACCACCTCATTCATTAGATTTCTTACTCATTTTGCTACTGTTAGGTATTTTTGATCCAACTGAGCTTATTAATGGAATTCGCCAGCTGTACAAGACTCGTGAGGGATGGCTCTCACCATTTCCATGGTGTGAAGAGTTTCAGTTTTTTCTTGGCAATATTTTTACAAGGCTCAAAGTGGTCAGAAGAAAGAAAACGAGAGGAGAAATCACTGACGTATTTGTTGACATGTCGTGTATACTAGACCCGTATGAAGAGTGTTCAGCGCCGAGAACAGTGTTGATTGAAGGAGAACCTGGTATGGGAAAAACCACCTACTGTAAAAAGTACGCCTACGACTGGGCCACAAAACAGCAAGAGCCTCAGGGCTGCAGCGCAACAGTATTCAAAGCAGTATTGTTGCTGAAATGTCGAGACATCTATTCTGATGTTTGGGAAGCCATTGATGATCAACTTCTTCCCCGAGACATCGATGAAGAAGTCAAACAACTATTCTTTCACTTTATTCGTGAAAATCAATCCAGCATTTTATTGATATTGGATGGATTGGATGAGTTACCATCCGGCAAATTGTCGATGTTTTCCGAATTAATTGAGGGAAGAGTACTCCCCAGATGCCACATAGTTGCAACAGCAAGACACGAAACAGGAAAAGAGGTGAGAAAATGCTGCGACACGCTGCTTGAGATCGAAGGGTTCACTGAAAACCATGTGAAAGGATTTATCACCATGACTTTAAAGAAAGGCCGGATTTAGCCGCCAAGCTCTCGGAACGAATGTCCCGAGATAAAAACCTGACAGAAATGGCAGCCAATCCCCTAAACACAGCACTTCTTTGCCTTTTGTGTGAAGAGTTTGAGGGCACACTCCCCGAAAACAGAGCTCAACTTTACTTGGATATGATTGAATGTGTCTTGAGAAGATACAGGAAAAAGAAGGGACTATCAGAAAAAGGAGAGGACCTGACTAACCTTTACAAACCGCAATTGAATCACCTTGGGTCAGTGGCCTTGAATGGTTTTCTTAACGGCAAATTAGATTTTAATGAAAGTGAATTGGCAAACCATACAAAAGAGTTAACTGAGTTTGGATTTCTGTCAGTACAGCCTGGTGGCAGCAAATTGAGACAAAAACTGCATAATGCTTTCTTACATAAAAGTTTTCAAGAATGCTTTGCAGCATTCTTCATTTGTTCTCAGATTCAAAGTAAGGAAATTACACTTGAAAAACTAGTTTCCGATCCAAGGTATTTCGTTAAACTTAAAGAAGTACTTTTGTTTTCATGTGAAATTTTAGCCATGAAATGCGATGAAGGAGTTGTGGCTCTTGTAAAGAGTTTAACAAATGAAGTCAACAAAAATGCAGGCAGTGGTACAAAAGTTGTATTGGAGGCCATTAACGAATGTAAAAGAGAAAAAAGTGATTTTCACTCACAGTTAGCAAAGTCGTTTGGAACTGGTTTGAAACTCACCAATTTGAATTTGTCTGGCATTGGTTTTAGTGACGCCGGTGCTACATCTATTGCTGAGGCAATCGAAGTCAACAAGACGCTCACCAATTTGAAGTTGTCTCGCAATGGTATTAGTGATGCCGGTGCTACATCTATTGCTGAGGCGATCAAAGTCAACAAGACGCTAACCAATTTGAATTTGTCTTTCAATTGTATTTGTGATGCCGGTGCTACATCTATTGCTGAGGCAATCAAAGTCAATAAAGACGCTAACCAATTTGAATTTGTCTTCCACTCGTATAAGTGATGCCGGTGCTACATCTATTGCTGAGGCAATCAAAGTCAACAAGACTCTAACCAATTTGAATTTGTCCGACAATGGAATTAGTGATGCCGGTGCTACGTCTATTGCTGACGCAATCAAAGTCAACAAGTCTCTGACCAATTTGAAATTTTCTTTGAATCGTATTCGTGATGCAGGTGCTACGTCTATTGCCGAGGCAATTAAAGTCAACGAGACGCTAACCAACTTGAATTTGTCTTACACTCGTATTGGTGATGCTGGTGCTGCATCCATCGCTGAGGCAATTAAAGTCAACAATACTCTAACCAATTTGAATTTGTCTGACAATGGTATTAGTGATACCGGTGCTAGATCTTTTGCTGACGCAATCAAAGTCAACAAGATGCTAGCCAATTTGAATTTGTCTGTCAACCATATTAGTGATGACGGTGCTACATCTATTGTTGGTGCAATCAAAGTCAGCAAGACGCTAACAAATTTGAATTTGTCCAGCAATTATATAAGTGATGCCGGTGCCAGATTTATTGGTGAGGCAATCAAAGCCAAGGAGACTGACCAATTTGTATTACGATGGTATTAGTGTCCACGGTGCGAATTTATTGCTGAGGCATTCAAGGTCAGCAAGACTGTGACCAATTTGTATTCGCCACTCAATGATATTAATGTTGAGTTTGCTAGATTTATTGCTGAGGCGAACGAAGACGACAAGAATGTCTGAGAATGTGATTGGTGATGACGGCATTATATTAAGTTTTTGAAGCATTTGAGGTCAACAAAACCAGCGGTGTTCTTTTCTGGCGATTCCATTGCTTCATCTTTATTTTGCTGAAGTGATTAATGTTAAAAAAAAACTGCGGGTGACTCGAACCGGCTTCTGAAGCAATTAATAGAAGTGATTGTACTTTTCCTTTTAAGTAACTTTTAGTAACTCTTCCCTTTAGTGAACGCATGGAAAAACTGTGAGGAGCTTTTATTTTCAGTTGTCCTTAGTTGCACTTTGATAATATTAAAATCCAGTCTTAATAGCTACCTTTGTGATGTTTTCTTTATTCAAGCTGATACTTATGCTCCTGAGGTATATACATTGGAAAAAAAGGAGAAGTGTAATACGCCATTGTTTTTAGAGTTTTGTATTTAAAAGATTATCATAGATATTTATCATTCACGAACAGCAACATTTTTTCCATTCTTTCCAAGTTTCGAGTGCCTTTCTTTCACTATAAACCAAAACATTAAAAATTTATAGGCACTGATTTTTATTTCTGTTGCGATCTGCAGAGCCATTCCATGAAATTTGTCCAATGAAAAATTTCTAATGGGGAGGTGTGTGGGCGTGGTAAATAAAATGGTAATGCATTGCCAGCAGATGCTTGTTACCACGAAGGCCTAGGACTTAATGACGAGTCAGAAGATATGCAATAAGCTGGCTGTGGGAAGATAAGGATTGGTACCAATTATAAATTATTTCTTAGAGAGACTGGCAGATAGAACTCCAACAGATGGTAAATATAGAGCTGATAGAGTGTTTTCACTCACTGTATTTGTTTGATTAAACGCCATGGCGTTTAGTAAATTTTTTGCGACTCGAGTGCGGCGTTTATTCAAGAGTGGCGTTTTCACGAGGGCGGCATTTACTTAAAATACAATTTATTTCTTGCAAACAATAGTATGGTTAGTAACCATTTTAATTTTAAAAACAAAAACATGTTCCATTGCTCGTTCTCGTTTTCACAACTTGCACGTTAATACTACTGCAATACTTAAAGTGAAATAAAGTGAACATAGTTCACTCAATTTCATGTAACTGTCCTCTTTATGATCCGAATCCAAAAGATATAATGTCGGATATGTTTCCTCTGAATCGGAAATGGTACATTCAAAGGGATTTGTGTCTTGTTCACTCAGAACTTGCAACTACGATAGAAGCATCAGTCGTCCACAGCCATAAGGCTGTCGTTCCCCGAGGAAGTGAATCATGTCACCTGTCGACCCATCCACGGGAAGGCTCAACTCGCAGCTTGGGAAAGTTTTTTTGTGGGTAACTCCGCCCGAGAAACGAGAATTAACTGCGAAATGGTTTTTCTCGAGGATGCTTTTAAATTTTCGGCAGCTGTTTCCTCGTAAATTCCCGCGGTACCCAGCCATTAATCATTCCTTTTTAGAGCAAGCGGCCTTGAACGACTTGTTTCAGCAAACATCCGGTGCCTGGATAAGCTTGGTGGAGCCTTCTGGCACAATTACTCGCTCGAATTTTTTTCGGACTGCAATGTGTAAGCAATGCTATCTTCAATGTGGCAGTCGAAGAAGTCCCAGGCTGATAGCAATCAACCACCAACCTGAATGTCACTGCTTTAGGGCCTGTTTAAAAAATGTGGGGGACCCCAGGTAGGTGAAATGACCCGCCTAGCCGTGGTCTAAAGATATCCCGCGTTTACATACAATCTTACAACCCCGGCGACGTGTGGTAAAACGTTGCTGAAAAAACATGAGTTTCTTTCGTTTAAGATTTTCGCTAATAGCTCCATGCTTTACCGTTTCCGTGATGTTTTAACGTTTAAACTCTGCGTGGGACGACTAGGAAATGTACAAAGTCTTAACACACTCGTGTTTCGCTTTTGTTGTGCTCATTTGATCTTTGGTAACATGACCGCGCCCTTCCCCCCTTCCCCCCCGGCTGAGTGGGTTACCCAACCTTGAGACGTTTACATGCCCCACACAGCAGACAGGGCCAAGACGGGTCACCCAACCTGTCACGTAAACGTGATAAAGATAAAATAAGAGATAAAATGGACGGGCGGGTTACCCCTCCTAGGCAGGTTACCTCACCTACCTGAGGTTCCCCACCTCTATCAAAACAGGCCCTTAGTAGACATCGATATGCTTTTTGAGTCTATTATTCGAAGAAACGCTGCGTCATGATGCAGCATTTATTTGAGGACGGAGTTTATTAACATTTCTGCTCTAAATTACGGCAATTATTCTAGGGCGGCGTTTATTCCAGGACGGCGTTTAATCGAATAAATACGATACATCACATATGAAGACAAGCAATTTTAGAACGTAAACCGACATCTCCGAAGTCATATAATGCTTATAAAAAAATTGATCTATTCTAAAACAGAACGGGACCCAATTGTTCAAAGGGCGGATAACGCTATCCAATGGATGCATCGCTATCCAGCGGATAAGTGTTAACAAAGAATACTGCACCATCCATAAGATGGAGATTTATACAGTGGTTATCGTTATCGAACAATCAGGACCAGGTGGACAACAGTTAGCCAGTAGAGTGATCTTAACAACACGTGGTACTTACAGTTAACGATTTGGAGCACAACTAAATAAGTGGGTTTTTGCTAAGTTTTTAATTTCTAACAACAAAACCGTGATAAGGAAACAAAAAATTGCAAACATATTAATTTTTCCCCTACAAAGCCATAATATAAGGATTGAGAAGGACAGTAAATTGACTGCTGCTAAAGCAACGCTGCTATGCTCCCTCACCTCTCGTACAACATCTCCCCTCCCACCCCCTACCCACCCTTCGCTCCTTACCCTACAAGAGCCATGATCCCTCCTTTAACTACCTGACCACACAAGCTGGAAGGAGAGAAAGCTTAAAAACTCAGCAGAAGAAAAAGAGAGGAAGTCTCCGCCCCTTCCCCTCCCACCTCATTTGCTTTCGTCGTCAAAACCCATTTTCAGTCCTTCCTGGGAGTGGCTTCTGATGTTTGATACCAATTTATAATAAAGTTCGGATATAACGCGCGCTGTCATTGGTTGAAAGAGCGTGCTCTATGAGAGTATAGAGCATAGAACTGAGTTATAGCTGTCACGCCATCTGCCAAATTGTACCATGTTCGACCTTTTCCGGGACTTCTTTTTAGCTTTCTTCCGATAATTGAAAGTGAAATTTCGGAACAAATAGTAAACTTGTATGTAATAGTAAACTTGTATGTACTATCTGTTGAAATATCTGCTTCATTCCAATAGAGGAAGTTTACTACGCTATTATTTTTACACTTTGGTTACCGAAGCAATTTTACCGACATGCGATATTAAGGAAACAGGAAGGAACAAGTTTGCTTGGATACTAGGGATTTGGTCGAGATTATACTGAAATACCTGTGGTGAAAGATGAAGGAAACCAGTTATAAAGGTTAATTAAGAGAATAGTGTACTAAAATAAGGATATGCAGGAAAGAGATTTTTATATGAATTCTGCGAATGGATAAAAAACTTTATAAAAAACGTCACTCATTTTGCTCTCAGAGTCATGTAAAGAGTTTTAGAGACCACACTTTATTTATCATCGTGGGATGGAGGATTTTTTTTAAGAGAAGGGAGGGGTGGTGAGGGTCTCGTGGTTTCCAATGAACGGAGGGTGATCAGTCGTCGTTAACAGAGTTTTAAGGGAGACTGTAGAGAATTGACCACCAAAGCACTGTCAATGAGAGGGAATCATAAGTATATTAGGGGGGGAGCAGAGAAATTTAATCGTGACATAACCAAAATCCTTCAGCCCCCCATGGGCGATAAATAACAAGCAACTCCTAACAACAAGAGGCTTGTCTTTCTTATCGTTTAACTCAGGGTACAATTCAGATTTTATCTTCACTTTTTGAGCTTGCACAGATAAATTGAAAGTTATAGGAATACGCACAAATATTTTTTAGTAGAGCTCTGTGAAGTATTCATTGGGCAACTTTTCCGTCGATGACTACGTATTGCCTGCGTCCTCATTCAGTTTCGTCGGAAGGAAACCATGGTCTATGAGTTCAGATGCTTTCTGGTAATCAATAAATACCAGCCCTATTGCACTGTTTTTGTCTAAGTCAAGGTGCAGCTCGTCGATTAGTCGAATTAGGGCGGTCTCGGTGGAGTGGAATTTGTAGAATCTGGACTGGAGGTGATGAAGTAACGCATTTTCCTCAAGGAAGTCGTACAGGTGGTCACAAATGTGCTTGTAAAATAGCTTAGAAAGTATCGGAAGCACAGTTATCGGCCAATAGCTCTTCGTGTCATCATGACTTCCTTGCCCCTTGTAAATGGGATCACTTTACCGACTTACCACTTTGTTAGGAATGTCTGCGTGTCGATGCAGTAACCGATTAGCCTACAGAGGGAATCAGCGATGGCTTGTGCTGCAATTCTCAGCAGTTTGGCACCAACACCGTCTTCACCTGTAACTTCATGTGCTGGAACAGAAAGAAGAAAGTCTACAACCCTTTCCTTAGATAAATGTTCGATATTTAACGTTCCAGACATTTGATATGGCGTAGGAGGGGGTGCCTGCTTAGGTTGACAATGCAAGTCGTTTTTGAGCTCTGACTGGAGATTTTAGTTGTTTTGTTGATTGAAATAGAAGCGGTACGATGTCTCAGTAATTTACACAACATCTCACTGTTATCAATTAGCCGCTGGAGACCACAATCATAACTGTCATTTCCTGACAGGAATTTAATCAATTTTCAAAGTTTCCGTGAGTCGTGCCTGTTTTCAGTATGCTTGCTTTGTTTGCCTAATTAAGTTAGTTACGCAATTTTTCGCACGTCTGAAATTTAACTTTGATTCGGCTTTTGATTGGGATGGAGTCGCAAATACAAGCATGAAAGGCAAGTGTCACGTTCTCGATTGCGGTTGCACGTCAATCAGGATAACGTCGTTAAAACCGTGTACTGCGCTAACTTATTTACTCTGAATCTGGTTTACTGAACATTGTTTTAGATCACATGGCACGTGGTGGAAAAACTAAAAATTAAAAATCAAGGACCAAGTAAACAAAATACTCGAACCAAAGACGTGAGAAAGCGAAAATAACGTCGAAAGAAGCCACCACCTACATTGTCCAACTTCTTAAAAAAAAACAAAAAACGCGGTATTTTCCTTCTACTCGTTTTCCTGGTGCGATTTGAAGCCTCCATGCGTTCTTTCGAGTTCTTCCTAAGTGTTCAATTACATTCCAAAATTAGTTAAACGAATTACGATTATTAAACTTTAACTGAAAAAAATGTTCGAGCGTGACTCGCGTCACACTAACGAAACATTCGAGCGTGACTCGCATCTCAATAAGAGTATCTGACCGAGTTTTCAAGGGGTGTTAGGGAGGAGGGAAGGGGCGGATTCTTTCCCCCAACAATCTTATAATGTCAGAAGACGAACGGATCACTCGGAGATTTAGCTTGAAAACGTTATCTGACGCTAATACGCCCAAATACACTGAAAAAAATAAAAAAACCCACACAGGATTATGTAAGTACTATAGAAGGGGAAAAATTATCTTACTTTGTCAGTGGAAAGGTGCAAACTAGAGAGATCATCAA